TACACTCCTAATTTTACTCTTCATTCTGATTTTAAAATCAAAACCATCCATGAAAAAGCTAAACGATTCTTCAACAAATTGCCTTCCCATCCTAACCCTCTAATATCCGGTCTAGCTACTCACACGATTCCAAGAAATTCACCACGGCGACTAAAAAGAAATTGGTACAGACATCTTCTTAATGATTAATGAGAAAAAAATGTATATGTATATATAATTAACAACAACTCAATAAAAAAAAATGTAAATATATTAAGCAAAAGGAAGTGCGATCACTGGATGGTTTCTTCCAATTAAAAAAAAAAAAATTGATCGCTTATGATGAAAACTACCGATTATCGGTCAAAGTTAAATATACATAGCCGCACAGGTACACTACAGTTATACCCAATCACTTCTAAAGTTCACAACCGGTGAAGTATAAAAATGAGTGAATTTTGAATATTACATAACATAATATTAAAAGTTTATAACTATATACAATTAACTTAAAATGGAATATTGTATTCATTTATTTCATGCGGATTATATGTCCAATTTACAATATAGTAATATTATTAACAGTAATAAGAAGACAAGTGTTAGCTAGTTTTAGGTAATGTTTATCAACCCCCCCTTAAATCTTTAGTGGATATAACTGTTGCAAACATTTTTGGCAATTCATATATAATTATGAACTACCTAATCAAGGGATAAATTCGTTTATTTTGACAGGCAAGTACCTATGCTCGAAATGGACGTGCTCGCGTAATGGATAGTGGTTTTTATTATGGGGGACACCGTTTTGTGTGTTTTTTTTTTTACAATTCAATGGCATATCATTTGAATCAACTGGAAGGACCTGGAGGAGGAAGGGAGTAAATAATAATCAACAACAATGTCGAAAATAAAAAAATTGTATATTGGGTGTAAATGGTATTTATAAAAGACAAAGCAATAAATTATAAAATGTGTTTATTTAGTTATTTTCCCACATCCAACTTCGCCATCATCATTATATTGTCATTTTGTATGCCGAAGATGGATACATAAATCTATAAAATCTATTTTGTTATGTTATCCGATGGTATTATTTAAAACTAATTTAGGTAATCCTGTATTATAGTCATAGGTTTAATAATATTATAAAAACAATTAGTGAAAATGCTAACTAAGCACATATTCTTTAAGAGTCTTGTAGTGTGTTCTATATAATATGAACAAGGAGTCAACTAGTAAAAAAAAAAACAAGTAAATAAGACTTTTTATTATTGAATTAGTATAATATTTGATTCGTTATTCCCTTGCCTTGTTTATTCAATTTTAATATTTTGTTTTTTAACATACCTATTTAGAGTAAATGGGTTGGCTCAGATAGTTAGCTTTAAAGTAGATATTATATTTTTGTATAATATCTTATCTCGTCTCGTTTGAAATTCCTGAGGATCGTCGTACATGGATCCTCTATAATATGACATTTGGCGACGATGCTCCGTTAGACGAGTGTGCGGTGACGGTTTACCTGTACGTTTTGGAATTTTTTTTTTTAGGCTATCGTTTTTTAGATCGAAAGTTTTTCCTTTGACGAGCTTTCACCGTCGTAAAAAAAAACCCTTAACCGTCGTACGTATACGGTTTATAATACACAGCGAAAACGTTATCCATGTAAAATAATTTTCGTCGTGCATACGTATTATGTTTCGCAAAATTGTATACTATTACCTGCGCTACGTTTATTATATAATATATACATTATACATGTATATTTTGTACCCAACAATTTACATGCTTCTGCCGCTATTACAATCGGCGTATACCTACCTACTATTATATATTATTATACTTTGGTTGTTACGCGATGTGCTCGAATATAGCAGTAAACGATTTCTACTCCAACTTTATGAGTGCACGGCAGAGGGTCATAATTTTATTTATTTATATATTTTTTTTTAATACTTATTCGTGTTTCCATATTATACATGAGCGAGTACGGGTACACCTTGGTGTGTTTCAAAGTCGATAATATTGACCGCGTAATAACATATTATAAGCTCGTGTAATGTGTATAGGTTGGCGGCGCACTCGCGTGAAATGTGTGTGACTGTAGTTGTACGTATAATATTTAACACATTTTATTCGAACTCTTACCAAACATAAGATACGTGACAACAGAAGATTTTTTGAAATCTACAGGTACTATGCAGTTTTCTGCAAATCGATTCCCGGCCACCGGTGCAACAGTACGCATGCGTTGTGCGAGGTTCTCAAAAACGATTTCGTAATTATCGTTTTTATTGAATTGGACGATTCTCCGACCTTCGAACGATATTACTGCAATAATTCCGCATTTATCTAAATTCCGATAGCATAATATAAGCTTGCAGTTACACAGTGTATACTAAATCTAGGAAATTTGGTGGTGGGGTAGGGGGGAAATAAGTAGCAGAGGGTATTTCGGCACCTCTGTCTTCTTACTGCGACATATATTGGATCTGAATTAAAATGTACATACGCCACAAAATTATGGCTGATGCATAAAAGTTCAAATTTATTATGAAAATCACAATGCGTGTAATATATATTATGTATGGAGGTAATAACTATTAATGTATATTTATTATTTATCGGTATTAGATGTACCTATATTATTATGCTATGCATATTGGATAGAAAACCTTTGTCCAACATCTAATTTTCCAATTTGTTTTAATTCATTAATAATATAATAACCCTTCGACACAGTACATACATGCAATACACGTATTTACTAGTATGAAAAAAGTGGCTTTACGATGAACAAAAATTTTTCCACTTAAATTTTGGCACCCCTATTACAAAACTTAAATGGCGCCACTGACTAAACCGCAAGTCTACCGCCACGTAATGTAGACGTAACGAGTAAAAAATAAACTATTATTATACACTTAAACTCGGCGTTTTTAGACTCGTGACTGACAAGCTCAATTTTCGGACGAAAAACTTTTTTAAAAAAACCTCCACCGAACTTGTTTCATAACAGCAATAATAATAAGACGCCCAGTCGCATCCGCCCAAATGTTTCACGTTGCAATCGCATCAAAAAAAAGTCCCCTTAGGCTCGCTTCACTTAGATTGTGCACGCATTCAGACCATTCGGATAATAATAATAATTTGGTGTGTAATAATAATAATAATAATTCACTGCCGTGCTTACAATACGCACTGTATACAGGGTAATTCACCAAACATGCTTACTTTTTTTTTCTTCAATAGTGTAACTATACAAAAACCAATTTTTAGAATTTTCAAATAGGTGTACTTACTTAAAGACAATATTTTCAAACTCTTGAGATTGTTTGTGCTATTTAAAGAGTGCTCTAGACTCCCGTGGAGAAATGAACTGGAAAACCCATTTTCTGCTGTAAGCTACATAGTGGTTGATTCTTCTCGAAAAGAATCAAAATCAAGATTCAAACGGGTAGTCTTAGAGTTATTTGAATTTGTATGCTATGAATAATAAGTTGTTGCTCGTTGATAATAGTTTTCGAAGATACAGGGTCTAAGGTATTTGAAAATTGTAACAATTAATTATTAATCTATCATATTTATAGTTTGTGAAAATATTCAAGATATAATAAATACTATCTATCCAATGTGAGGTAGGTACAAAAGTACATTTCTTTTATATTTTTGCAGTAAAACCATTTTTAACTCAACTTTTAAGAACCGTTAAAATATTGATATATTTGTATTCCTTATAATATAAGCATATTAATAAGTGAAAAACGATTCGTTCGAATTTTGAATTAGGTACCTACGTCGAAATGTACAAAAAAACTATCCACCAAATGATTTACTGTGAAAATGGGAACTCTTTGAGTAGAACAACAACAAAACTCCAAAAGATTTGAAAACACGTAGTTTGAGTTAGCTAGTTTGAAAATTTCAAAAATCAGAATTTCAATAAATTCATTACCGCATAGGAAAACTGGGGCTGAACACGCTCGGTATATTATGAATCACACCCTGTATATATAATAATATAATATAATATACGGCCGTTGTTTCGCAACGGTCGACAATCGCATTTCGAAACGTATTACCAGCCGGAATGGGTTTTTTTCTGCTCTGAGAGGAAAACGGAGTGTGCACGGACCGTCGGAACGGGGTAACGCGAGTTTCATTTATTTTTCACGCTATATTTTTCGCGCTCGACGATTATATTCGCATGGGACGCGATGCGCGTAAAACTTTTGGCACGTTTGCAGCGGGCGTTGTATTATTATATTTTACAATATATTATTATTATTATTATTCGGTGTACAATGCGTATTTATATAAATTGTATAAAACATGTGTGTGTTTGCACCTTGCACATGTCGAGTAAACAACAATATAATTACACGCGTCTCTTGTCATGCGCGTTGTCCGGTTTATTATTGTGTTATTATATTTTACACGCAACCCCTTTCGTTGTTTTTCTTACGGATATACTTTCGTCGACTGTGTAAAAGTAAAAAAAAATTGCATCATTGTAGTTAAAGTTATTATTATTGTTTTCGTCTCCGTTTAGTGGGCCAACTTCACCGACATCCCGCCATCCCGGGTAGTCTGATACGACTTCCGTGAGAACCGTAGATTCGGCCGAGAAGCGAATGACATGTATTTTGCACAGAATTTTGTTTTATTTAATCCCAGCAAATAATATGGAAATTTAAATATCAATAATTCGACTTTCGGAGAAAATGGGTATGCCGGTATGTATTTAATCGAAACCAAACAATTGAACATGGTCTGCTTAAATAGTTTTTTTTTTTTTGTGATACTCGGATAATAATAAAACATTTTTTTGTAGGTATGTGTCTACATTGTATGAAATACCTTATATAACATTATATTTCAGTAACAGTTTTTTTTTTAAATCACTTATTTTAAGTATAGAAGTTTCTAAAATATATGAATAACAGTGTAAATAATTATTATTTAATACTTAATAGTGACTTAAATGTGTAATATAATACAATTAATAAAATTGTTTTGAACATAATTAACAACATATCATAACATATATATACTATACAAACAATGATGATAATTTTGATCAATTGTTTTAAACATTGCTCTAACATTTTTCAACGTTTTCACCAAACGAAATCAAACAACTTTTATATTATAATGATATTTAAATGCAGTAGCCGGGTACCTATATTTATTTTGTTTAATTAATTCCATAAATTTCCATCACTCGAATCACTCGATGGTGTATAATATTCAATCAGGTCAAACAAAAACAACTCTCGCCGAACAATATAATACACCTAAATTTAAAAAAAAAACAATAACAATAGTAAACTGAAATCCTATTGATGTGGTATAATCAGTAATTAATATGTATTTTTACCTGTCCGAAACCTGTCTAATTAACCATTCACGAACATTCGAAATTCTATTATGTTTAAGTTATTGTATCAAGCATAATATATATTATTATATATATTAATGTATACGTGAAGTCAGGATAATATATATATATATATTATGTTGTTACCTGTTGCAAAACATAAACATTATTAGAATTAAAACTATTAACTAGGTTAAGAAAACATTAATGTAATATGCAACAAAATTTAGTACCTATTAAGTCTTAGTCAGTAAGTTTTAATAGACTATAAAACAAGACGTAGCAAAGTAGAAACAAGGTTAAGCTATATTATATTATAAGATGTAATGGGAATGGACAAAAGTTGGTTCATAACCTTCATTGTTAAAATGTAACACTTGTAAAGCTAATAACCTGTGTAGTTGATGCTTAACCAATAAAGGAAAAAAAATGGGTTTTTCAGCGGTTGTCGCTTGATGCGGCCACTGTAGGACAAAACAGTGATAAATGATAATGTATAAGTATTTTAATTGAGTGTGTTTATTTAGAGTAATGTTCAGAAGCAAATTTATGAATTCCAATATAGTTTGTACATTGTACGTTAAAACATATTTTATAGTTTTCATTTTCACACCATGTCATTATAAACATATAATTTAAACATTTTAGTTAATTTCCTATTATAATATTATAAGGTCTTTATTTTATCGCAATAATCAATGTATATAATATAGGTACAAATTATTTTTTTTTTAATTCAAATTTTTATTTACAATTTTTATTACGTATTACAGGTACAATTACTGTCAATGATTAAATAATATGCCCAGTAAAAAAATAAAAATGACATGAGGTTCACATGTTTAGAGAAAAATCCATTGATATAACTCTAGATAATTTATAAATACTTAAAATATATAAAATACCAAATTGTTTAATTCTTAGTTAACGTTATAAGACAAAATGTTGAACGTAGGTTCTATTATAATTTATTTTATTAGGCACTTATTTATATAACTTTAAGCACTGTACCTATAGTAAAAATTAAAATTAAAAAATTACAAATAAAAAAAAAATTTTAACTAAAATTACACCCTATTCATTTAAATGTTTTAGTAAGTTCGAGATACTTGATTAATACATGTTATTAAGTGTTATAAAACCCGTCTAGGTCTCGTCCTAACATCGATATAATAATGCTTTAAATAATGATATTATCCAAACAAAAAATTATAAAAAAAAAGTAAATACTTACAATTATACTTAAAATACAATAGTATTGCTTGTAGATAGGTGTCATGTAGAAAACGTACACAGAATAATATTTTATGAAAATTGTTTTCAGTCGCCAACATCAGCTGTGATAATACGAAAGAATGTATGTTGACTAACGATGTAGTATTGTAATAAGAATTTTATCTTATCTCTTTTTTGTGTCTAAAAAAATTCTATGTTTTATGAAATTATAACACGTTTAACAATTGTGTACAAATGACGTTTAATAATATATTATAGCGATCGGAATAATACTCTAATAACATGCACTTGTCTGGGAGTGGGACACTTAGGTATATAATATTATAAAACCGTATAAAACAGACTGACGTTAGTTCAGATAAACATTATACATAGGTACCTAGTATAGAATCGTGTCAGTAAAATTAAATTTTTTTAGACTACCGAGTACCAACAGATTAAGGCTTTATGCATTTCAGTGAATGCTCTTCGTGTAATGTACCTACTGTGTAACATCTAATAGTATCCGAGTTTAAATAAAAATGGTACTCTCGCAAATTATTTTATAACATAGGTTCTGCATTTATTTACATGTTTTAAATAATTTGTTACGCCATTTTTGTTTTTTGGATTATTAACATGGTACCTATTATAGTAGTACCACGTCTACCCATTAAGAAGACAAAAAAAAAAACAATGAATGGCTGTGTAATATTTTATTATTATAATAATATACCTACTCTACAATTTAATTATAAGGGACTGTTAATTATATGAGCTCCTAAAAAATAATATATGTTTGTACATTTTATTGTATGTTTTAAATTGTAATTCATTACACAAGTTTTTTTTATACGCCTTTATGCTTTTTAATATTGAATCGTTACATTTTTCAGACATTTATATTAAAATACATATAAAAATGTATAATATGTCGATACAATATAGGTTTTATAGTTGAATTGTTTTATTGTTTTATTTTGGTTGACAAAAATAAATAATGGGTCTTATCAGGAATGTAATAAATATTCCGTGAAATAATAATAATAATAATAATAATAATTAGTGACAACATGAATTGTTTTACATTGCTTGCATTACAAATATTATCATAATAATGATATTGTCTATCAATCATACACAAAAATTAATTTAGGTATTTGATATTATATTGTCTACCTACCTATGGAATACCGGAATTATAGACACAATGACAGCAATGTACCAATTTTGCCTGTACAGTACGCCGTGCATCATAACATTATTGTTTGGGTTCACTAATATCATTCCTATGACTTACCTGCCGAAAAAAAACCCTCTCACGACTGCTGTTTTCCTACTAAGTAATATTGGCAGCGATGTTCCTCATAATATTATTACAGTGATATAGTTAAAATTTTAAAAGCTTGTTTGAGGTAAACAAGTAGATCTAAGGTTGTTGAATCAAAAATTAAACGAGTTTGAGCCAATTTTGTTTTACCGAGTATAGTGTAAAGTGTATACACAAAATAGGTAGGTACATTTAACTATTAAAGTAGTTGGATATAATATTTTGATAATTTTGCAATTGCTATTTTTAATAACATCATATCAAATGTGAATTATTTTGTATTTATATCAAGAAAATTAATAATTGAAATAAAATGTTAACTATTGACAGTACATTTTTTTCATAGGTATGTTCAGCAGTACGTATTCAAATAGAACGGCAAGGAGCGCCCATTGAGAGGGGGAAGGCAAAAGAGGACTTGTCCTTCTAGAAAATAATAAAATAAGCACCAAAAAATGATGTATGGTTTGAATCCATATTCCATATTATACTGATTTCATATTTAATAGAGTAAGTGATATCATAAGCTTTTGCATAATGCTTTTCACATAATCAGTGAACCAATTATTTTATGTCCGTACAGAATTATATGTCTTGGAATCTAGTTTCATTTTTCTCCCTCCCCTAAAAAATACCCTATGGGCGCCTAAAAGAAAGGATAGGTAGTCTCGTTTATTAAAATTTCCGATTTACAAATATAATTTATTCAATGATAATTTGCACTAAAAACGTATTTGTTTAGTTAATAATTATAATAGTAACAACTAATAATATTATGTATACCTACCTAGTTTAATAAAGTGTGAAATAACTATAGTAAGTATTGCAATTTGTAATTCAAATGTTAACTATTTTAAACTAATTTTCCAACAGAAATAGGAAGTACTGATTTAACGCTAGCGGAGTTGCATGTAGGTGCCTATACCTATAACCTATACCACATTGAGTTCCTAATACAAAATAAAATTACATTTAACTTTAATTCATGATTTTATGACGTTTAAAAAAAATTGTGTGACCTGCAATAACTAATCGTCCGTCCAACAATCTGTAACATTAATATTCAATTTTATGCATCGGTATCACTTTATAGGTCCGTATTTCACGATCATAATAATATTCTAGTACAAATCAAATTTTAGACAAATACATAACAGAAGAATACAGTAGATTCTAGTCACTCGTCATTGTAAACCACCGATGTCGACTCAAATATGTCGATGTTTTCTATGAAAACCAAAAATGTTCAAATAATGCTTCGATATTGTCGTTAGCTCGCAACCGGTTTGATATTTTATGCAATAAAAATGCTGGACGGCACACATACTTGCATCATCTTTATCTGCGACTTTTTTCCACCTCAAGAATGTCCGTGAAGTTAGCCGCCCAAAATTGTCGAACCAATTTCATATTTGGTCATTCTTTAGTAAGTCATTAGTAAGTATTTGTAAGCACAAATTCAGAATTTGTAAGTCAACAACTTTCGGATTATCCCTGAAAGTTTGCTAGCCGGGTCACTTCAACTTTTTGAAATTTTTTTTCCACCCTCTCATTGTGGTCCATTAGTATGTATTTGTAAGCGATAATTCATTTTTTTATTTTATTTTTATAATTTTTTTATTTTATATTTATTTTTTTATTTTGTATTATCGCTTACAAATACTTACTAATGGACCTCAATGAGTGGGTGGAAAAAAAATTTCAAAAAGTTGAAGTGATCCGGCTAGCAAACTTTCAGGGATAATCCGAAAGTTGTTGACTTACAAATTCTGAATTTGTGCTTACAAATACTTACTAATGACTTACTAAAGAATGACCAAATATGAAATTGGTTCGACAATTTTGGGCGGCTAATTTCAAGGACATACCTCAAGACCTAAATGCCTTGTCGCCACAACAGTTTTAGATTTTTTGTGTATCAGGTGAATTTTTGTAGAAATTAGGAACAAACATAATATTACTTTTACTAGGTAGCTAGTAAAAACTTACATAATATGAACGGTTTTATCTGGTGTTCTGTGTATAGTAACTTACATAATATTGTGTGATATTATGTACCTATGATATTAACCGATAATATGTTCCATGTAGATAAAAACTTACATGTTATGTCATTTTACATCTTACGTAAGAATACAAGACAAAAAAAAACAAAAATATTATTTATTGAATATAAACTCTATTTAAGGATTTGCGAGAAAACACTTGAACTTACCATTTCCTAGATAATAATTTAGTTAACAATCATTTATTTTTATTTAATTAAATAAAAAGTCTAGTATCATTGTAGATATACAATATTATTTATTTTTAAAAATGTAATTAATATATTTTAACACAAGTACAAAATATTACTGATGACCAGTACAGTTATAGTTTTCAGCAGTTTCAGTGGCTGTTAACAAATAATATTCTTACAATTTTTTTTTTCATATAAAAATCCAATTATTACATTTAAACATATTTTTTCAATTATTTGTTAAAGATGAATAAAAAAAAATCACATCAACACAAGCATTGCATATAAAAAAAAGCATTCAATCTGAACCAAACATTCAGCTACAATAAAATATAAATTCACATAACTCATGATTCATATACATTTGGTTGAGAATACATAAGAGATTGTCATTAAGATAACTACAATTAATAAACAATCCACTATTGATCATATTATAACTATCTTATAACATTATAGTAACAAACATTGTGAAAATGCATTAAGTATTGACAATAACATGCTTATTTTTACAATAATTAGACTTAAAAAATCAACAGACACCTCACAGTCAAGGATAATTTAAGAATAAGGACTTAAATTAACTATAAAGTATCGTATTAAGTATAGCAAAAATTATATGCGTTTATCAGTCTCTAATTATATTATATTTAAGTTTGGAAAATTTTTGAGTGACGTGCATTCGTTCATGATTGGCTACAGCTGAAGCACTTTTTAGTTCCATTCCACAATAGCTGCACTGGAAATTCACTGAACCTTTCGTTTTAGTATGATAGAAATTATAATGAACTTTTGCCCTGTCTTCCATCAAAAACATTTTGCTGCACACACCACATCTATACTTTTTTGGTAAGTCATCGTGTTGTATCTCGTCGTGGTCTAACAAATCACAGAACCTTGAAAAAGTCTTATTGCACAAGTGGCATATATAAGGCGACCTCTTTGATGTCCTCAACGTTGGGGTCTCTGATAATTCTTTATTTTTTTTAGTTGGATGTGTTAGCTTTACATGTTCCTGTAGGTCAGAGACAGTTAGAAATATTTTGTTGCATTTATTACATTCGGTTTTTTTATTTAAATCACGGTGTCTAGCTACTGAATGCTCTTTTAAGTGTACAAATTCATCAAATTGTGCACTACAGTAATAACATTGAAATTTTTCATCCATATCCTCAATGGTTTGCTTATTTTTAGATTCAGTATAGTTCATCTGAAAAATAAAATTAATAATATTGTCAGTTATAAAAACAATATTTTCATTAAAATAATACTACAAAAAAATAGAGAGGTCAAGATAAATAAAATTTTACAAAAATCTTAATATTTGTATATGTTAGTTATTACTATTATCAGATATGGGGTATTAGCAGAAAATTCTACATATTACGACATTATTAAATTTAACACTGCTGAAATTATTTATTTTTAGTTAATACAAGTAAGGATATAATCAGGGCTGTGACACCATGTGGTTTGGCTGAATTTGGCAATTGTGGCCTTGAGACTTTCACAAACCCTGAGTACAAATTCCAGTTAAGCATAATTTAACATCTTTCACATATTATGCTGAATGACACCAATAAATGGCATCATAATATACTTTATTATTCAACACATTATACATTTTTCCCAGACATAATAAGAAAATAAGAA